GATCTGGAGGTATCGATACCAAGAGTAAGGTATCGATACCAAGAGTAAGGTATCGATATTGTAATTGAAAATGAATTCCAGAATGTCAAAATGGTATCAATACTAAAGTAGGTATCTGTACCATAGAAGAGAAGTATCGATACTATGGGTAAAGTATCGATACTATGGGTAGAGTATCGATACTATTCAGCTTGAAATGTTAAGTTAGGTGTTCCATTTTGTTCAAGTAAAAGTTAATTGACTAGATGCAATTGAGCTTCAATATTCATGGGTTATATTAATGTATAGATTTGATCGAAAGCAAGTGATGAACAAATGAACATGTAAAGTTAGTAAGCTAAAGTGGAAATGATGTATAGTTAGGACTTAAATGAGGCAAAGGTGAGTGCATTCATATTTATGTTTTAAAGTATGGAATGAGGAAGACTTGCGATGAGTCAACCTCATATGATTTGGAAATAAATTGTTTTCAAAATGTTCTATGTTAAATATATATTTTTACATTGTTTTGCTAAATGATTCTTTGAATAAATTTTGGGTATGAATTACTCAATCTATTTTACATGATAAGTTTGTTTTAGTATGTGTGAAATATTTCAATTATATTTTTTATAGGAATAATTTCTATATATAACAATAAATGATGTTGAATTAAGCCAAGGTATGAATATGTGTTATATGTGAATATATACTATGTGAAATGAAATACTATGAGACTAAGTTCCATGTGAATAAATGTTAAACTTGGATAAAGCTACGTGAAATTTGTTCTACATGAAAATACCCTAGGTGAATGTATTCTATGTGAATAAAACACACTCTGAGCAATGAAATGAAAACTAATTATAAGTTAAAGCCCAAAGTATATTTTATGAGAATTAGGGGTATAGTTGGCATGCCAAGAATCGAGGGTTCTATGTGGTCCTTCGGGATAACCCTATGTGGTCCTTCGGGATAACCCTATGTGGTCCTTCGGGACAAACCTATATGGTCCTTCGGGATAAATCTATGTGGTCTTTCGGGACAAATATGTGGCACTTCAGTGCAAATTATGTGAGCAGTGGTGATTGCATTAGTACACAACCTCAATATACTCATATACTTTTAGTTCTCCACGATATACGTTGGGCCAATTAAATAAATGGATATAAATTAAACAAATTGATAGTGATTGAAAAGTGTATAAGTTATATGTAATTAATATGAAATGTAAATTGATTATAAATTGTACATTGTCAAAAAGTCTATATGTTAATGATATGAAATGTATAAGCAAGAGTAACATGGATATAACTTTATCTATTTTAATAAGATATGTTATAAGTTATAAAACTTGTGGTGTTTTTGTACTTAATATTTATTTTTTAAAATCTATATAAATGTTTTACTATTTTATATTGCTGATAATGCCTCACTAAGTCATAGACTTAGCTTGTGAGTATTTTCACACGTAGGTCCAAAGAGATTCGAGAAGTAAGTTGAGTTAGCAAGGCAGGACAACATAACTGAGAATATTATCAGATCAGAGAGATTTTGAATAGTATGTGCTTTGTTATTTGAAATGTTGTTGGCATGTATTAATAATGTTTTAAGTTGTAGATGTTCTGATATGTTTTGTAAATATGTTTCATTTTCCAATAAAAGTTAAATTTTAGTCAGATTTTCAAATAGTCAAAGAGTTGAAAAGTCAATGTGACACCTCGTACGCGTATCCGAGTTGGAGGTGTTACAATAATTACTTTTGAAAAAAATTATTTTTTGCTAACGTGGCATTTGCTACATCATCACCTTTGCATATGTGGCATTGCTACATCAGCGTGCAATGCTATGTAAGCTTGTCATGTCATCTCCATGCATTGACCGTTAGTTGACGAACGGTTTTCATTGAACGAGGGTGGGTTTTGACCCAAAATGAGACATTAAGGGGTCAAATATTCCAAAAAAAAAAAACAATAAGGGTAAATTTGACAATATTATCAAACGTTAGGGGTATTTTGTTGCATTATGCATTTAATTTAATTTTATTATACTTTTTTATTTAACATTTTTTTATTTTAAATTAGTTTCTAACTCTTTCTAATATAACTTTGTATTTATGATTATTTTCCATATTTATCTCATGTGCCTTTTCAATTTTGTATATTTATTACTTATTGAATTTCAGTATTGATCTAATATATCTTTTTGCGTATATTTTTACATTTTTACTCTATTTTGATATTTGCCTTTCTTTCTGCAAAATATAATTAAATTGTTTTTATTTTTAAAATCTTCACTTATTTTCTATGACAGTAATAAATTCAAAGATAAATAATTAAGATCTTTTCTTTAATTTGGTCCTAAACTTTATTTTTATCATTGTTTACTTTAAATTTTTTGTAATTTTATCTTACAATCCTAGCATGTTAATTAAATTGAATCCTTAATTTGTTTTCTTCAAACTTTGTAATTAATTTTCTATGAAGCCTATTGATTGATTGTATGATATTTTTATTTAATTATTAAGCATGATAGCCCCATCCTTATTACTTAACCTTTTTCAGTAATGAATTAAAAGATAATGTTTGTTTATTTTAAATTATCGCAGAGAGTTATTCAAATCCACATAGGTAGTTTAATTCAGTAATTTAAAATGAACAAGTACCCTCCATTGGAACTGTTTAAAAATAATGACTTATTAAAATTAAACAGGTGGGTAGAAAGAGAAATGTTCTTGTATTTAGATCTAACGAGGATGAGCCACTCGACCCTATTCGATGGTTTAGACTCAGTATTTATAAATATTTGAACATTCTCTAACTATATTAAAGGCTCAATATTTTTAAAATAAATATTTTTTTGCAGCACAAACTTAAGTAAATAAATACAACTTTCAATTATGATACTTCTTATTTCTTTCCTAAAAAAGAAAAATCGAAGTTTTACCTTATATTAGGTGATGTTTCCTTTTAGTTTGAAGTACCAAAGTGTTGTCAATTTAACCTAAATTTTTTAAAAATAAATATTAATAATTCACCGCTTTAGTTAGAAATGAGAGGAATGTCACTTTACGTTATATTAGGTGGTTAACTCTCTCTAGTTAAACACAACAAATTATTAACTTTTCTCTCTAAAATTTTAAATAATATTTTTATTTAACTAAAAAGGTATCATTAATTAAATTAAAATTTGAATTCATAAATTCTATTTTAAAGACAATAATTAATCGACTAGGTACCTGTAACACCCTAAATTTTGAGTTAATAGTTTCGGGTTTACCCGACAGATATGTGAACCTTGTGGAATTTTTGTAGTTTTAGTCGTTGGGCTGAGTGGGCTTAATTGAGTCGATTTGGAGCCCAATTAGCAATAAAAAGGGTTTTTGAATAGTGGAATATGAGAAAGGACCTATTGTGCAATTTCCCCATTTTAAAAAATAAATACTTCATCCCGAAAAATTAAAAAGAATTTGGCACCAGGGCTTTCCATAAAAAATAAGAAAATTTGAGGGTCATTTCATTATTTTTAAAAGAAAAATATCAAGTCTTAATTTTATTGAATAGTTAACAGAAAAATGATCAAAATAGAAATAAATCAAAAGTTTAATGAGAAAAAAATAAAAATATAATAAGTAAATTGATTTTTTTTCTTCAAAATTTTAGTGATTAAAATAATAATGAAAAAAAAAGTTAACGAAATTTTGTAATTTACTCTTTTAGAAAATAACTAGACAGAAAGTTTAATCACGGAAGCGCCGTCACCGGTACGCGCCGTCACCGGTCGCCAGTCCTTGCACAAACTTTTTGACTCGAAGACTCAGTCAACTGGTCAATACATAGCCGACTCCAAAATCAAATTCCATATTTTACCGACTGCTTTCATTTCGTTTGATTCTCTTCCAAATCGGCGGTCAAACCTTCAAATCTTTTTCCCTAACATTACCTAGTTTTGACCTGACTTGGTTTTACTTTTACCTTACTCATATAAATAAATACATCTGTTTTAAAAATCGGATCGGATCTGCCGGTTCAACCGGGAATCGTTGCTTAGTCCGGTTCAATTTAAACTGGTTGAACCGTTATTAGTGAACCGGCCAGAACCGCTGAACCGTTCGAACCGGACCGGTAGAAAACCGGAAAAAACTGGGAAAAATTGGGATTTTTAAAAAAAAAAAATTAAACCAAATAATGTCGTTTGTTAAACGAGCCAAGTCGAACTGGAGTATTGCTGAGCTCGACTCGAACTTAAAAACTTTAAAAGTAAGCTCAACTCAACTCAAATTCACAAGCTAAAAATTATCAAGTTCAACTCAAACTCGAAATATAATATTGAAACTTGAACTCAAAAAGGCTTGAACTAAAAAAAAATTAGAAGCTCGATTGAAGCCTAAAATTCGAGATTGATTGAAGTGAAAGAATAGTTCACTCAATGCTCACCAAAAGGCTCCATGATTTTGAATGGCAAATTACCTCTATTATTTATAGAAGTTAGTTGTGACGCGCTTTTATGTTTCTTAGCAATGTGAAATTATTTTGTTCTCATATTTTTACTCTTTAGACTTTTGGGATGCTCTTCTATGTTTCTTAGCCATGTGAGATTGTTTTTAAAAAAAAATTAAACCAAACAATATCATTTTGTTATGATTTTTTAACCCCAAATTTATTTTTTAATTATAATTATATTTATTATTTAATATGTTTTACCTTAAATATTATGTTGTAGTTAATTTGAATTATTTTGTTTCACTTGATTTTATGATTTTTAACTTACATATGTTATGATTTGTTTTGAATATGACTTTTATATAAAAAATTATTTTTTATTAAATATTTTTGATATTTTTATTTAATTTTTTAAATAATTATGATGTCGTCCGATTTTTCCGATCGATCGAACTGTTTCGATCGGTTAAACCAATAAATCGATAGCATGACCGATTCGCTAATCGATCCGATTATGAAAACGATGATAAATACCCAAACCTTAACCTCCAAATTTCACCCGACTTCGCCTGCATTTGGATCTTCCAATACTCCAAAAATGATTTTATCTTGGAAAAATCGCAGAGCCCTAAACAAGAAGAAGAACAACAACCATCGTCTGTGTGAAGATTTGGACGCGGAAATCAATATTCCGACTCACTTCCGATGCCCAATTTCTCTTGATTTGATGAAAGATCCCGTCACGATGTGTACTGGGATCACCTATGATCGAGAGAATATAGAGAGATGGATTGAAGCCGGCAACGAAACTTGCCCATTCACCAAACAGGTCTTGAACACCTTTGATCAGATTCCCAATCATATACTGCGAAGGATGATCCAAGACTGGTGCGTTCAGAATCGTTCTCTCGGCGTTGAACGGATCCCTACCCCACGAATTCCGGTCTCTCCATTTGAAGTCTCCGAGATTTGTTCAAGGATTGCCAGTGCTACTCAACGTGGAGATGCAAACAAGTGTGTGGAATTGGTTAGGAAAATCAATAATTGGGGCAAGGAGAGCGAAAGAAACAAGCATTGCATTATAGAGAACGGAACAGGTTGTGTTTTGTCAGCTTGTTTCGAGTCTTTCGCCGCTGATTCATCCGAGAAACACGTAAATCTGCTGGTGGAAATTCTATCGGTGCTGCCTTGGATGTTCCCTTTTCTCGAAGAAGGCCGATCCAAGCTCGGAACCGAGTCTTCTTTACGTTGTATCATTTGGCTTTTGGGGAACGGAGATCTTTGTGCTAGACAATATTCGGTCTTGGTGCTCAAGGAGATTCTTCATTCGGATGAAAGAGGGATAATTCCAATCACCTTGCGGGCAATTGAAGGAGTTGCTGAAGCACTGTTTTGTCTGATCAAGGAATCAATTTCACCTGCTGCCAGTAAAGCTTCGTTGATGTCTATTTACTGCATGATTTCTTCAAAGGCAAAGAACGACAAGATGACCTCCAGATTTGTGGAAATGGGTTTGGTGGATGTGATCGTAGAAGCCATTGTTGAGGCGGAGAAAATCGTCTGTGAAATTGCTTTAGGCGTATTGGATGAAATTTGCAATACTAGAAAAGGGAAAGAAGAGGCCTGCAAGAACGCTTTGATTACGGCGGTGTTAGTGAAGAAAATCTTGAGAGTTTCGAATTGGGCGACGGAGCTTGTGGTGTCGATTTTGTGGAAGCTTTGCTTGGAGGAGAGTGTAAGGATAGAGGCAATTCAAGTGGGGGCGTTTAAGAAGTTGCTGGTGAGTTTGCAGGTTGGATGCGGTGAGAATACGAAGGGGAAAGTGAAAGAATTGTTGAAATTGCTTAATGTCTACAACAATAGAGTAGATTCTTCTTGTGTGGATTCATCCATGGATTTCAAGTATCTCAAAAGGCCATTTTGATTTACATCAAAGATAGTTTATACCCAGTAGGAAACATTCAACGAAAAACATTCATTCATTTGTTCAATTTTCTTGCCAAAATCTGCGTCTGCTGAGCTGCAATATTATACCGGGGCTAACAGAAAACACACCAACGAATGTTTGTGGACGCAAATTGCATCACTAACTCTCTCTCACATTTTTGTGTGTATATTTGCGCTCTTTTTCCCCCCCAAACATATAAATAAAAATTAATTTCTAATATGTCACTCATTGGAATAGCTTGATGTTATTAGTCCTTTAATAGGAAATGGAAATGGTATGCTTACAGTAGTTCGGTCTTCGTATCGAATGCACGGGTTTGTCATTTCGTTAAGCATTTTGAACTATCTCACCATTGCTTATATTGGAATTATTTGAACTTGTCATGTGTTTCAGTTATTTCTATTTCCTAACTAAATTTGGATGCTATTACTTGGAGTTGCAGATTGTATGTTATTGAGTCTGCTTACTATTTTTTTTTAATTTTATCTGAACATTGCTTTTGCTGGCTTTCTCAGCTTCAGAAACTTATTGTTGAAAATATCCTTGCATTCAATGAGACCTTCTGGATACGATTTGCTACAGAAGCGACACCTGCAAATCCGATAATGATAAAGCACAGATTTTTAGTTGGTTAATTCTAATGTTTCAATGGCACTTATGTGGTTTGACCTCATTATAGTCCGCAGTTTTTGTAATTCTTATGTTACTGTTGTTTTTCCCTCATGCAGAAAGAAAAAGACCAAAAAAAATGATCTGCTTGGTGTCCCTGCCTACTAAAGGCTCTAGTTGATCAGTGTCAATCATTATCAAGAACACAAATTGAACCTTTGAGCCATTTAACCTTTGCTTTGTGTTCCCAAAAGGAAAAAATAAAGAAGGCCCTGCTTTCTTGTCTCAATGAGCAACAAAACTTGATTTCTATAGTTTGAGAATTAGTTGTTTTGCTGACGCCAGTATCTTTTACAAAATGTTATCCGACACGTACAAGTTACATAAAATTTGAAGGTTAGTGCCATGTCTTTAAAGTATTTACCCACATTGACTTTGTATACTGATAATGGAGCTTCTCAAGCTATTCTGATTTAAAGTTTGTTATCTGTAGTACTTAGTACTTGAAAGGCATGTCTGCATTACTTTGGATAGAAATATTATTTATTGTTCATCTAGGATTAATTAACAACATTGAACTTTGATACAGGTACTCCCTTAAACTTTATATTATCTTCTTGACATTATTAAGAATTAGAAGTATTGATGCAACATGCTTAATCAAATGACTTAAAGCACAGTTTTGCACTCTTTTTTTACCCAAATATATAAATAATTATTTTAGATTCGAGCAGTTGCATATATAGAGTTGTTGTAAATAAATTAAGAAAATTTAGAATAAATATTATATTATAATCATTCTAATTAATAAAAATATTCTTAATATAGTTTTTGAGTCTGCAAAAAAAACTTCCTACAAGAGAATTGCATTATAATTTGTTTAAAATAAATAAAAATGAATGAAAGAAAGAATCAATTTATTCATTTTGAGATGTAAATTGTTTATTTTTTTAGTAAAAAGACAAATACAATTCAAGTAATAGTACATGATATGTTTTTTTTATAGGGTAAACTATATCAATGGTCATTAATATTTTACTATTTTTTTATTTTATTTTTAAAAATAACAAATTGATCACTAATGTTATCGATTAGTAACAAATAGATCATTAAACGTTAACACTTAATAATATGGGTGACGGAAAGCTTACCTGACCGTTAACTGCCACGTTGGACAACCTGTTGATCGAAGCTTCAACTAATTACAACCACCTTAGTCCTAAGGTTACCAAGAAGGAAGATGGGGGATCTGATGCTAGCTGTTTTCCCAAATGTCACAAGCCACACTTATATTGCTTCTTTCTCTGATAGGGGAGGTCCTTATCTTCATCATAACACTTACTCTGATCAGTGAATTAGAGTTGGTTAGGGTTTGACTCATCATCCTACGGTATGGAAGCGAACCATTTCTTTCGCTTGCAACGATTTTTCTCCGAGGAGGAAGGGATAAAGTTCTACTCTTCAACGACCTTTTCGTTGAATAGCTCATGGCTCTCCGAGGAAATCCATTTCATATTGCAGATCATCGCATTGTAACCTGCCTCACAAAGATAAACCATCACTTTACGCCTGAAAAAGTAGATGTATTCGTTTCGAAAGGGGAAATCATTTGCGTTGCTTGCAAAACGTCGGCTACAAATAGATTTCCATAGTAATCCATTTTGATAAGAGCGATAAATTTGACGATGATCTCCAACGAGATCGTATAATCAAGTTCTGAAACGACTAAATTGGCGTCAATTGTGTAAGTATTATTACGATCCTATTGATCGGTAGCATCGTGGTTATCTTCGGGAGAACTATGAACGTGTTCGAAGAGGCAAGGAGAGACATCTCCGACGACGGTGGTGGAGGCAAAATGTTCGCTTCTGCTTATTGAATAACCGACGCCGACGAGTTGAGCCTTGACTCCGTTGTTAAGTGAGTCAGTGACTCGTTTTACTCTTCTATAAAACCTACTAGCCATTGAAGTTGTGAATATGAATGTGTTTTATTTGGGGTTTTTTGGGGTTTTAGATTCATATTATCTTCAATATAACACTTTCCCCTCTGATCTCTTGTTAAATTGCTTCTCTGATCGTAAATGAGACAAGACATGTCGCGAGCTATTTGATGTCAACTCGGTTAAAACTCGATAAATATTTGACTCGAGTTCGACTTGAGTTCTTAATGAATTGAAACGAGCTATTTGATACTTAATTCGAAAAACTCGTAAACAGTTCGAAAATATAATATATTAACATTTTATTTTTAAAAAATAAATTATTAATAATATTAACATTTATGTCTTGAGTTTTTCAAAAATATGCAGTACAATGTTTTTATGTATTTAAGGTTCGAGTTTGAGACTTTAATCAAGTTAAAAATAAATTATTAATAATATTAACATTTATGTCTTGAATTTTTTAAAAATATGCAGTACAATGTTTTCATGTATTTAAGGTTCAAGTTCGAGTTTAAGACTTTAATCGAGTTAAGTTTAAGAGTTTTCTTTTCTTTTTAAGTTTTTATGAGCTTCAATTAATGATTACGAGTTCGAGTCAAACTTGAAAATTTTAGACTTACGAGTTTTGGAGTCGAGTATAACTCCATTTCAGAGTTTTTGAATCGAATCGAGCTCAGGAATACTCGAGCTCGACTCGACTCGACTCCTTAACTGTCATATCTCTTGTTGTCTCCTTGTTATGGGATAAAGATGTGAGCTTTGGGTTTTGGAGTTTCGGATAAAACTTTTTTCTCAACTTCTTTAGTCGAAGTTTTTGTTTGTAGACTCACTTCTTTTCCCTCTGTTCGTGCTTACACAACAACCTTTTCGAGGAAATGGAAGCTATGGACTGACTTTGACTCAAAAGTAAAGAGACATTGTAGTGTTAAGCTAAAAAATCAAGCTTTTTCTTCTTATGAAAGATTTGTTATTAATTTTTGTCTCTAAAAAATAAAGAAGAAGATGAGAGAAAGTAGCAATAAATTGCTTTTATTGTAAACATTTAACTATAATTTGGTAATGATAAGTGTAGACACTCATTTTCGTTAACATATATTTTATATATACATATATTTATATATATATATATATTATAGTTTGTAAACGGTTTTTAAAAATACATATATAATATGTAGTTTTTAAAATATTTTTGAAAACTATATAATATATAATTTTTAAAACATTTTAAAAAATATATATACTATATAATTTTTAAAATCATTTTGAAAACTTATATAATATATAATTTTGAAAACATTTTTGAAAATTTATATAATATATAGTTTTTAAAACATTTATATATTATATAGCTTTTGAAAAACGTTTTTGAAATATATATAATATATAATTTTTTTAAAACATTTTAGAAAATATATATATTATATAGTTTTTTTTAAACGTTTTTGAAAAATACATATAATATAAAAGTAAATGGTCGGTGACGACTCTAACCCCATTATTTTAAGTCAAAGCTCAATTTCGAACTCAACCGAAAGACGGTTCCAACAATAAGGTGATCAACAATCGAGCTAAACGATTAACAATCCGGTAAGCTTTTCGTCAACCATATTAATAATAATTAATGACAAGTAATTGATTTGTTATTTATGAAACTTATAAAATTTCAATAACAAAAATAAAAATTTATTCAAATGTTATTGACCATTTGTGCAGTGTACCCTTTTTATATTTCTATTCATTGGTATGGTTTCTATATGGTTAAGGCTAAACCCTAAGCCAGTCTCCCGCCTAAAATCCTGAGCAGCGGACATTGAAGATTAAGGACCCAAGCAAAAGCGTAACATAAAAATGGAGAAGCTGAAAACCTTGGCTTTAGTGGGAGGCGGAGCTTTTGTAGGTGCTGTTTCAACCTTGTTTCTTCTTAAGCGTCTCCCAAGGCAAGTGTCTTCTCATACCGTTTGAAATTCAGTTGATCTTATTGATTCGTCGATCGCCTTCTCCTCTTATTTTTCCCTTGAAAATGTTTTTTCGTTTTTGTTTGTCCACATCCATGTTTACTTAAATTCCTAAATCTGAATAAAATTTGTAGGCTCTGCTTTCTTTCGTTTCAGGGAGTTTTTTTTAAGTAATTAATTGTCTTTTAGTTGCCCAGAAAAAAGACTTAACTATAAGAATTTTGAACGAATTATTTACTTGATCTGATTTCGTAAATAATAGAAAATTGGTTATATCCTCTAGGCAGTTTATCAGATTTTTTTTAATGATTGAAGCATCTTTGTTTTTGCAGAAGGATTTCAAATCAGTGCGATAAAAAGGTTATCGAATTGAACGGTAGTGAATGTTTTATTTACTTAGTAATTGTCTTGTTATACAACATTTCTATGTTTAATGAAATCGGATTAATGGTGGAGCTTTTGCCTGAAAGAAAAGGCTTGCTGTTGAATTGTATTCTCACATTTGATGGTGCTTTATTCTCTCATTTGATGGACCTTTACATGCTTTTAGCTATTATCTATACGCCTTGGAACGTTACAAACACGATTGACCGGCAACATACTTTTCTTTAGCTGAAAATTATAGCTGCTACAGAAACCGATATCTGAAATTGTGCTGGTAGATATGATTAAGTTAGACTAATATTTAGCATTCTTGTCAAGGCGTGCGCGGTGCGCCTAGGCGTGCCTGTGCCTTAGCATTATTCAACAAAAGTGCCCTAGATCCTTTCATACCAGGCTCACACCTAGTGTGCTTAGGCACCCTTTTTTATAAGGGGATAGGCATACAAAAAACTCGCCTAGCTGAGTTTCTCTTTAATTTGTTCTATTTCTTCACTTACTTTTTACTTGATATGCCTTTAGTGTTATGAAAAGGATACTATCAAACTCTATACTTCCTAATATTTACATATTCAACAACAAACATTGACCAATGAAGTTGCATGTTTTGTAGATAAACTAGAATCCCTTTTAGAGTTTGTTATATATCTTAAGCTTTATATATATACATCTATAACTAAATCTCGCTCATTTACATATTGTGCTTTATTTCACTCAAGCTTGTGCCTTTTATTGTGTACCCTTCATGATGTGATCCCAATCAGCCCTAACTTTGGTCTTGATCTGATTAAATCATTGAAGTTCACTAAGGCTGATTCAAAGGGAGTTATACCTTACTTCATCCTATACCTGCTCATTTATGCACTATATTTCATCATATGTTTGTATTTACCTCTTAGGATATGCTTATCATATGATATCATCCATTGCATGAATTTGCATGAGTTTTATTAGCTGCATTACATTCATTGCATTTAATAAGTATGTTGTTCATTAAAGCATGCATTACATTTAAGCATGTATTTCATTTAGGGAAGTAGTTCATTTATGCATCTAGTTATTTAATAAACTACTTCATTCATGCATTTAGTTCATTGAATAAAGTTAGTTCATTGAAAAATGTTATTTCATTAATCAAACTAACTCTTAATTATCCCATGCATATATACATGTTATGATGGAATAAAGTTTATCTTTGTGTTTAGGTGCAAGAGGGAAGCTGAACAATCTTAACCGATGCAAGAATATCATTCATAATGTATTCTAATTCTGGATGCGATACAAACATTTTTGGGTTCAGAAACCAATTGGAAATTATTTCTCTATCTCTTAGCTTTCCAACGCCTTTTGAATCACCGCAATCCGATATCGGGAGCTTGAGATATGATCGAATTACCAAAGAAAGTGCCTGTTGGAATTTTCATTACGGGAATTTCATGCATGGATTATTTGGATGAGTTTGACCCAAGGAAGAGTCCTTTCATCTTCTACCAAGATACAAGCAATTGAAGGCTATCTTAATGCTTCTAATTAAAGCAATTCAAGGATTAATTCTTTTCATCTTTTCAAGGCTGTTCATATTCTTGGAGACAATGCATTCAATCCTTCATAATTCACCTATTCAAGTCTTATCATTCTTTGAAGGTTATTCATATGCTACCAAGGAACAAGCAATGAAGGCTGATTTTATTTCATTTAATCTTCAAATTAAGTGATAAAATCAGCAAGAAATTTGAAGAGACAAGCTGATTTGGACATGTAGGATGTCCACATTCATCCTATGACATCATTTAACCTCTTTTCTTCTATTTGCAAGAAAAACAAGGTAGCCCAAGAGTCACCCCTCCTTCTTGGACGAAATTAAGGTCATATTCAGCTTCAAATTATCTAGATTAATCCCCAAAATGATCTAGAATATTCATCCAACTTTGAACATAAGAAGACAAAGCATTCGAGTGCATTTATTGCTAAATTGATGAGAATGTTATCATCTTTTGAGTCTTTTCATATGCTTCTTAGAAATATTATAAATAGACACATTTTGAGATCATTTGTAGACACACAATTTGATTTATGAAAATACTTTGAGAGGTTGCTTTCGTTTTAGTTCTTGGATTAGAACTCTATCGGTTTCTTGTCAGTCTTGAAGCCTTCATCCATTTCATCTTGTTATAGCGTTGGTTATTATCTCCAAATAGCTAACTGGTCACAATCCGTTTTATCCTTACAACACTTACCACGACGACACCATTTGCCACGACAACGCCATTCATACTTCACCATCTATTTTCATTATCATTAAACCACAACAACCATCACTCTTCCACCACCTTCAAACAACGTCCTCATTCTTTTCATTTCATCATTTCAATTATTATTTCATATCATTTCCTTATGTTTATATTTATGCAATTTCAGAGTTCAAGCTATCATTACGATGTTTCTTATTAGAATCACGATCGGGCATTCACATATATGACTCGAATCACATATATGACTCGAAACACATAATCGGGTATCTTTACGATTTTATTGCCTATTCTCATCTTCGTTCTTTCTTGTAGCCAATTCTTTCTTTACTCACATCATATTTCCAACCAAGCCCCAATTGTTTCAGCCGAAGTCTACAAGACACCTTGTAAACCTCGAGGGAGTTCTAAAAGAGCTTTAAAGGAAACTAAGAGCTGTAAAAGGCAAGAGTGTACATTAAGGGTAAAAGCCATCCCGAGTGAAACACGAGTGGGAGTGATTTTTCTTTGGAGTGTATTGGTGAGATTTTTTTTTTGTTGGTGAGGTTTATTTTCATCTTTATTAATCATTTCTTTTCATTATGTCTCGAAAGTATACACGACCAAATGATTATACAAGAGACAATGTACGAGATTTTTCATCAAATTCTCAATTTCAAGATTTCAATCAAGAAATGAGGAGTTTGCTCAAAAAGTATCTCAACCCAATCTCAAAGAAGTTGGATTGTATAATCGAAAAAGGTTCTTGTTCACAAACACCTCTACCGAAGATCAAAAGACAAGTAAAGAGGAGAGACGACACTCGACTCGTTTCTAATTCTACATCCAATTGGAGCGAAAGATCTTGCAAGGACGATCCCAATTTTCGAATAAGAAGCGATGTCAATAATTCAATGCAGAGTGAGTTAAGCAGTTTTGCATCTTTCAGTCTAGCTCGTCTTCAAGAGTGTTTTGACAATTTCGTCAAAGAAACACAGTTGCAAGAACAACTGGAAAAAAGAAATATTTGCAACAAAGAAAGAGAAATAAGAGTTGAAAGAGGTTTGTGAAAAAGAGGGGAAATAGGATATTTTCGAAGAAAAAGAGAAAAATAGTGACATTGAAAAAGAAATTCAAAAAGAATATGAGAGTGAAAAGGACGAGTTTGAAAAAGAAATTGTTTGTGCAAAAGAGAGAGAGAGTCAAATTGCATTTTGCACTAACAACCTTAACCCTTCTTCTTCTATTCTTGAATTTTCATTGTTGCAGGATGACAAGAAGAGCACTTCAAGAGACATGTCAAACACATTGCCAATTCTAATGATGATCGAACATCGTCCATGCTTTAATCATGTTTCAAAGGAGGATCCAATGAAGTTTTCTATCACCAAAGAACCGATGCCCAATAATATCATCAATCATCCTCCATGGTTTGATTTTTCCATTTCTTTTGTTATTGAATTATTTACTTTTAACTTTCATTTACTTTTCAGAGGGATGATTCAAAAACAAGGAATTGATGTATTGAGTTGCGAGGATAAGTTTCTTTGCAATCTTGAGATGAAATTGCCACTCTCCATTTTGCAAATAGATGATTTGAATAAAAAGCTATCCACCTACTCAAGAGCCATCATATGGAAGGGCACAAAGATTAAAGGAGATGGTGTAACCTATCTACTTGAAGGAGTTCAAAGGTCAAAACTTTCCACCCACCCTCATGATGATTCAAAGGAACACAAAGAAGGAGTGCACATAACATACACCTATTCGGATGAACAACATGGAAATGAAGTGCACAAGCTAGAAAAACTTAATTACAAAGAATGGTGTTTGTGCAAAACAAGAATGAAGAAGATCCTAGCTAAAAAGAAGTCAAGATTGTTTCCTTTTGTAGAAAGCGTCGATTTGGGGACAAATCGCTTTAAAGAGGGAGGGAATGATGTGATCCCAATCAGCCCTAACTTTGGTCTTGATCTGATTAAATCATTGAAGTTCACCAATGTTGATTCAAAGGGAGTTCTACCTTACTTCATCCTATACCTGCTCATTTATGCACTATATTTCATCATATGTTTGTATTTACCTCTTAGGATATACTTATCATAGATATCATCCATTGCATGAATTTCCCGTAATGAAAATTCCAGCCTGCATTTTCTTTGGTAATTCGATCATATCTCAAGCTCCCGATATCGGATTGCGGTGATTCAAAAGGCGTTGGAAAGCTAAGAGATAGAGGAATAATTTCCAATTGGTTTCTGAACCCAAAAATGTTTGTATCGCATCCAGAATTAGAATACATTCTGAATGATATTCTTGTATCGGTTAAGATTGTTCAGCTTCCCTCTTTCACCTAAACACAAAGATAAACTTTATTCTATCATAACATGTATATATGCATGGGATAATTAAGAGTTAGTTTGATTAATGAAATAACATTATTCAATGAACTAAATGCATGAATGAAGTAGTTTATTAAATAACTAGATGCATAAATTAACTACTTCCCTAAATGAAATACATGCTTAAATGTAATGCATGCTTTAATGAACAACATACTTATTAAATGCAATGAATGTAATGCAGCTAATAAAACTCATGGAAATTCATGCAATGGATGATATCATATGATAAGCATATCCTAAGAGGTAAATACAAACATATGATGAAATATAGTGCATAAATGAGCAGTTATAGGATGAAGTAAGGTAGAACTCCCTTTGAATCAGCCTTGGTGAACTTCAATGATTTAATCAGATCAAGACCA